CTTCATTATTTCTAACCAAGCGCCCGGACTATAAACAATTCAAAAGTAATTTGGATTATCTTACCAGTTTTTGCCACTTAACTATTTTCGACTTAATTATCAAATGATAATTAGCAAACACGGAAACACACAACCTTTATGATACCTGGTTAAATGAATGCTATTATAGTATATTTGAAGAATAAGCTAGAGTAAATTCTCAGAATACTAATCTTCGCACCTCGAAATACATAGGCGTGCACATCTTCTAACTAAAACGCAATCTTAAAAGAAAAGTTTGCGTTAAATTTATTGGGATATTTAGAACAAAGTAAGTAATCCAATCCAATACCGGTTTAAAATAAAAAGATACACATAAAAAGAATAAAAATTCTATTATTTGTGAAACATACAGTTATTATAAAATAATAAAATACAATAAATTATACTGAAACGTAAAATACATACACAAAAACTGTAAGTTTTTATATATTCCTATTAATAAATAATAATATTCTTAATACTAATAATATTGGAGAAAAGAATGAAAATTAAATTAGCAATAAAAAATAAATAAAAAAAAACAATGAAGTTGTCGGCAAATGTAAAATAAACTTCTGAGCTACAGTTTAAAATTAAGCTTCCTCATATTCTGTTTCAGACGAAGTGTTATCCGATCCGGGATGAATTATTATAGGTTCTATACAGCTATCTATTATATGATCAAGCTCCCACATATTTTTCTCAATATCCATAACGTAATTAATACATTTTTGTCAATGTTTACTCGTTACTTCGGATATTGATTTATGAAAAAGAATAGTAACATCTGACAATTTAAAAGTTGTATTATTTCGAGCTACGTTACTTTTAACTTCGGCCCATACTAATTCAATCGGATTTAGCTCGCAATGATACGGCGGTAGGCGAAGTATTTCAATTCCTCGTTTTTTGGCTATTTCCTCAATGACATATTTTTTATAATTTTGTTTATTTATTTTAGCAAGCTCTAATAATTCTGCTTTTGTCATTGTATCGTCAAAGATTAAATTCTTAGAAGTTACCCACATTGCAATTTCATCTTTCCTCCATTGAGTAGTTGGTAAACGTTCAACTAATCTAGAGTGGTAACTTGCATTGTCCATCACAATAACTGAATTTTTAGGTATGAATTCAATCATCTGTTCGAAATATTCTTCAAACACGTCTCCGTTCATCTCTTCGTGATAATCACAGGTCTTTTTTGATTCAAACAAAAGTAAACTCTCATTAAGAAAACCATTCATACTACCTATATGGGTAACAATTAATCGTCGACCTTTACCTATTGATTCCTTGAAACCAGGTGAATATCCTTCCAGAAATGCTTGTCGACATGTTTTTATAGTTTTGTCTTTCCAAACTCTTCCTACAATATGCCCTTCATTAACCCACGTTTCATCTAAATAATAAATGTTTTTATTTTCGATCCTCATTTTTTTTTTATTTTTCTAAGGTAGTCTAGTCTCAAACACACAATTTCTTCGGAATCGATAAGCATTGACTGTCTGCTCACTTTTTCATACTTAAAGTTTAACACATGCAAAGTTTGTCTCTACTTATTGTGGGTAAATCGGAACCGTCGGTAATAGCTTGTAAAACTTTATATAAAGTTGGTATTTGTTTGTTAAAAAAAATGAGTGGACCATTCTACGAATTGCATTTTTGAAAAATTCATCCAAATTCACTTTCGACAATTTTGGTCTTCCTGGTCTCGGTATGGGTGGCGTTATACCAGCTGATTTTTCCTCTTTTAAAATGTTATATACAGTTAATTTTGAATATCCCACTACTTTAGACGAAATTTCAACTATACTATCAACATTATTGGAGGGATTGTCTTGCTTAAAATAATTGTAGACGTTAAGGATAACATCTTTTCGTTAAGTGATAAATGATTCAACTTTAATTTTTTAACTAGTGTATATCACACGTTAATTCCATATTCTATATAATCACTATTCACTCTTGCAAAAAACAACTATGTCAGATCTCTTCACTCGCTTATAATCGACTAAACAAAAATGTTCTGATATTAATGAATGACTATTTAAAGACCATTAACCATTTTATTAATCATTGGTTTTCCAAACAAAATCGAAATTTATACTATTTAAGATAGCGTTCACATTTATCAGAAACCATATTTCGCTAATCGACTTTTTCTATCTAAACTATCAAAAGACAATGAACTAAATACCTATGTATTTTAAGAGTTTCTTTATTTCTGGTTATTTAATTGGTCATTATCATAACGACAAACATAACTATAAATGACGTTACTAAAATAAACAGATTTATATAAATATAATATGCTTTGAAAACGGTTTAAATATCTAACAAACCGAAACAAATAATGTAATACCCTTAAAGTACGTCTATGATCAGCAGAAAAAACCCTAGCCTACACAGTTCTAACAATAGCAGGTATTTAAATTTTACGATAATCCATGTGACATGGAAAAATTTCTATCTAAATAGTCAAACCCAACGTAAAATAAGCTAAAATATTGAAGTTGTACGAAAATCACACGTACTAAAATATGATTAACAATTTAGTTTTTTTTTCTAAGAATTTACTCCAGCTTATTCTTCAAATATACTATACTTTTAAATGATCCTATTTCTTCGAAAAACTGATTCATATATAATTTCAATGTTTTAACATTTGTTCTTGAGCATGGATATAGTTTAATAAATTTTGTATATAAATCAACTATCACTAGTATATGCTTTGTTTATTTCCTGTTGGACTGGGAACTAAATTTGAGATGAAATTCATGGAAACTGTATTTAGTTTTTCAACATTACATTTTTTCAACATTACATTTTCAACATTACATTTTTCAACATTACATTTATATGTGTTCTGGTTTTTTAAATTCTTTTCTTTGTTTATTTGAAATATTTGGCATTGGGTAGTAATTTCTTTTGCTATACTTATGTCATTCTTTGCAAAATAATTATTCCTAAATAGCATCCATAGCTTTATATATTATTAATTATTAGCAATAAATCTTGCAATATTTTCCTTGTCAAAGTTCTACTTATTACATATACTTCTACGCCATTAATTATCTTATAATACACCTAATCTTTCCTAAGGACTTTTTGTTTTTCACTCAAATTAATCTGATCTCTTATGATTTTTTCTTTAGAATATAATCCAGTGCTTTCTACTAACTGATTTAATCCAATTTTTATTGTTCGCTGTCCTTTTTGTAATGTATTTTTTCCATTTTTCAGAATTTCAGATTTTCCAGAAATGTGTTTGATTTCAAAACTGTATTCACTCAGTATTAGGCTCCAATGGTGTACTCGACTGTTTCCAGATTTGTTATTTAATATAGATGTTAAAGCTTGGTGATCTGTTTCTATGGTAAATTCATTACGCAACAAATAAAATCTTAATTTCGTTACACAGTGTATGAAACTTGCTAGTTCTAATTCTGAAACTGAGTAACCTTTTTCATATGGCTTTGTAATTCTTGAAATGAATTGTATCGGGTATTCGACCCCATAGTGTATTTGTAATAATACCCCTGATAATCTCTCTATTGATGCATCTGTTCTTAATATGAATGGCTTTGAGTAGTCAGGATGGTATATTTTTAAATTTGACAGAAAAATGTTTTTGATTTCTTGGAATGCTAGTTTTCTCCTCTGATCCCATTTCCATTTTACACCTTTCCTCAGCAGTTCAAGTAATGGAATTTATTTTATACTTAGATCTGGTATCATCCTTTTATAATAATTAATTATTCCAATAAATCCTCCTAAAGTTCTTAAATTGTGTGGTGTTTTATATTCCTGAATAACCAGTGTCCGTTCTGGATCCATTTCAATTCTCTTAGTATTAAGTTTATAACCTGCATATATTGCTTCTTTTTAAAAAAATGTATATTTTTCTTGATTTATTTTTAGTCCAACTTTGTCTAATCTGTTGATTACAATTTTTAGGTGCTTTTCAGCCATTTTAGAAAAAATTAATATACAATCAATATAGTGAATTACAAATTGTTCATATTGATCCAAAATATCATGAAGACATCTACATAGAGCACTGCAAGATAATTGAAGTCCAAATGGTACTACTTTGAATTGATATACTACTCCATATATCTGAAATCCTGTATACTGTCTACTTTTTCTTTATAGATGTATTAACCAGAAACTATGCTGTAAATCGATTATAGTGAAAAATTACATTCCTGCAATTCGTCCTAGTATTCCATCTATACTCATTGGTGCTTCAAATTGGTTTTCAGTGATCTTGTTAATATTCCTTGTATCCAAACATAGCCTGATTTCACCTAATCTTTTACGTACTACTACTATAGGTTTTATAAAACCTGTATATGTTATTTAGTTGAACTATTTCTTAATTTGGTTTGTAAATAAAATAAGAGGTCTCCCAATAATAATGTTCTGATGTTTTTTGTAAACCAAAACGGTAAAAATTGCTGTAAATAAAAAAAAATGTTTCATTGCAAAATATAATGGATAACAATTATCTCCCGAATAACACATCATTCAAATGTGCACCACGACTACGTTTGCAGGAGCAAATCCGATGAACCCAATTTTTCGGTCACTTTATGCAAAATATCCGCATTAATCTCACGAATGGTGTGCTCTATGTTCCTCTTCAAGTCTTCAATAGCTTGTGGTTTGTTTACATAGACCAATGATTTAACATAGCCCCATAAAAAATAATCCAACAGTGTTAAATAGCAGCTTCTTGGAGGCCAAGCATCTGGTCGAAGTTGCTGAATTCTCCTGGGATCTCTGGCATCAAGAGAAATCAATGTTTCCGGGAACTTTTCCTTTAATAGATCAATGGTTGGGGCAGTAGTGTAACATGTGGCACCGTCCTGTTGGAAAAACATACCTTTCACCGTTGACTGTTACACCATGTTCGAAAAAATAAGGTCCGATGATGTCAAAGCCGTTTAACGAAAAATGAGCTTCATCTGAAAAGATTATTTTTTTAAAAAATCGCCATCATTTTCGAGTTTGTCTAGAGCCCAATCAGCGAACAAACGACGCTTATGACGATCAAGTGGCTTCAATTCTTGAGTAGAACAATCTTGTAAGGCTGTAGGCCTAAATCTTCTCAGAATTCGCCAAGTTGTCATTCTGGTGAGTCCAAGTTCTTGAGAACGACGATTTACAGACACATTTGCATTCTCCACTACACTGGCTCTTACAGCAGCAATATTGTCCTGAGTTCTTGCATTTCGGCGTCTAGTTGGTAGTTTCGTATCGTGCAGAGTAAATTCACGTTCAAACTTTTCTACGATTTTACAAATTACACGCACATCAGGACGATGATTTGGTCCATAACTTTCACGTAATTCACGATAGGTATTCACAAAAGAACGATTAAAATTTTACTTTTATTATTTATTTATTAACAAAATTTTAGGATAATTTCCAGACGTTGTTCTCTTGCCATGGTAATTTGTTCGAGTATATTAAATACAAACGTCAACCAGTGGCAGTTCTATCATTTTCAAAATGAGCGCTATGACGTTTCAAAAACAGGACGTCCGTATTGGGAAACCCTTTATTTTGATTATGACTTTAATTTAATACAAAACGTAAAATGTTTGATATAAAATCCTATTATTCTGTTATTTTGTCAAATCCTACTATTAACAATCTTGCTGATATATTTATTTTATTTAATATTTCGTTAACTATTAACTTTATTAAAAGCATTTTATACCAAAATTCAGAAGTATTGATGTCTTTGTCTTTCTTTGTCTGGAGTAATTGCGTTAAATCTGAATTATGTAGTTGATTTGTAAAATTCGATTATCTCGAAAACTGTTGTGTATGGAAGTTATTAACAAGTATACCTTTTTTTGTTAATATAATATATATTCGCTATATAAGTTATATAAGGTATATCGAAAATAAAAATTTTAAATTTCCACTTTAACACCGTGTATCTTTCTTAATATCAACATTTTATTAAAGGAATTTGGCTTAATTAGTAATATTTTAAAGTGTAAAATCTACGGTTTCTTTTTCTACAATTACTTAAGGACCACCCTGTATATATAGATATATATATATATATATATATATATATATATATATATATATATATATATATATATATATATATAATTACCTATTTTCATCCTTATTGGAATATTGTTAGCCTTAAATTCTAATAGAAACCAAACATTTCTTTGAAATATAAGTGTGTAATTAGTAATACACACTTAAATATATATTGTTGTACATTCTAGTAATATAGATATATTTTATAGTTCTTTTACTAGTTCTAAAATCAACGAGCTTAAAATTTTAAATTATCCTACCCCTTAAGTTAAACCTAAATTTTTAATATTAAGTCTGTTTTCAAAAACCAAATGAATTTTCTCCATTTCAACTCCAACAATTATTGAAAAATGCTGAGTTATTCGTTTTAATATGAAACGAATTATCTTGCAATAAAACCTTTTTGAGGAGATATTGCTCGGTAAAGTAAATAAAAGTACTTTTTAATAACAGATTATTAGACTCAACAGACCGGTTGAATATGACACGACCGGTTGGTATATTCAATATGTACTCAGAAAAATGAGAAAAACATCAACGGAAAATGGGAATAGCTACTACTTTATACTTATATATTCTGTTGGTTGCATCCACGGAGCAGAACATGAGAATATATCTAAAACGGTCTGCTGTTACTTCGTATATGAAAATGTATATACATATATAATTTACTAAATTTTATAGGAGATTTTTTATGTCTACTATTTACTGTAGTCTGTTTACATATTTTATAGTTTTCCGCATTACAAAATATCAAAATAAAAGATATAAGGCTGGTTTGCTGGAGCTTTGCACACGTACAACAGTATTTACGAATCATTTTTTACATTATGTATATTTTCTACCCGCAAACATAATAAACATCAAAAATTAAGCCTCTTGTCCGTCTATACAACGAACTAATTTTGCAAATAAATGTAAAGAGCGCCGAGGCCGAGGAAGAAAACAACATTCTTGAGAGTATAAAAAAATAAGTGAAACATTAAAAACCTAGCCACCAGGAAGAAGTTTGTCTATAGTAAAGTGCATCAAACATGGACAACAATATGAAAAAGGTTAGAAGTAAGTATAAGTCGCAATTTCTGAGAGTATAATAACAGAGCATTTGTTGATGACTAATTTTCTATAATTATTTAAATTTTGTAATTAATTTTTATATACAGACGTTATATATTTTTATATAAGAGTTATTATAATGATTGATCATTACTATAGCGCTTGATTTCGGGAGTAAGTACATATTTATTTATAAATTAGTAAGGAGAATTAACATCCTAAGCCAGGGGTTCCCAAACTGTGAGGCGCGATGCCCTGGGGCGTCGTTGCGTTGACCTAGGGGCGTCGCGTGTCAGCGCGGTCTTTTAATACAGAAAATGTATTTATTTGATTTTAAATGAGTAAAAAATATATTTATTTATAAATAAATCAAATAAAAAATCTAACATCAAGTCGATAGATCTTATATTTATCCGAAATTATTCAAAAGTTGTTCAATCCGAAAATTATCCAATGGTCCACGAAATTATCCGACAATCGGATAGTTATCCAGAAATTGGCAATATTGGAGTCGAGTGAGCGCCGGGCGCATTCTGTTTCGCCGGTCGACTCTACTATCCCGTGGTCCTTACTGTCATGGCGGGTGTTATGTCATTTAGTCAAGCTTTTGTTGTGTTTTATTAGGCACGCGGAGTTTTTTACTATCAACAATGCATGTTTATTTAAAAAAAAAAAGAAAAAGAAGTGAAGAATCAGACGAGAGCAGTAATGTAAGTAAAAAAATAATTAAAGGAAATATGACTACAAATATTTGGATTTCGGATTTACCTGCGGTACTAACGGGAATATAGACCTTCTACAATATGTTATTAGGGATGCTAGTATCGAACGAAAGTATCGATACCAATATGGCTTGAAGTATCAAAGGTGTAGTATCGATACTCAGAATATCGCCGAAAAAAGTATCGATACTTAAGAGTATCGAACACCGATATTCGAGAGTTATTGAAACTTGAAACTGAAAACATAAGAATCTTTTATTTTGACAAATGACATTAAATATTTTTGTATTTTGTAAAAATATAAAATAAACTGCAAGATTCTTTGTTTAATAAGATCCTAAATAAAAATTAAAATAAGATCACAATGAAACGAGTAAAAATTTAATTATTTTGTCATTTCATGAAAACTATAATCCATAATACTAATCTTACAATATGAAAATGTAATTAGAAAAAATGGGGAATTTATGGACAAGGACAATGTATTATTGGGAGACAATGGACATCCAGTCCCTCAACTACCTAGTAACAACATGACAGAATCCTCAGACAGCAGTTGAAGTGCTGCATTTATTACAAATTATAGAATTAATATTTAAAGAACATTTGAAATGAGATGTAAGTTTCCTTTTATTCAAAGAATAATAACAGCTTGTTCAGTTGTACATAACATTGCAATAGTTAATAAAGAAAACATTCAAATACTAGCAAATGAGGATACTGTGGATATAGTTTATGAGGACATGTGTGTCAACATAAAGGATCTTTTACTACATAACAATGTATAATAGGGTTTTAATTTTCAATAATATTCTCTTCAAGCATCAGCTTTCAGAGGTTTGAAAAGATTTTAGGTGTCTGATTTGGGTCAATTTAATTTTTTTTTGTGAACAAAATACGAATGCTGTTATAAAAATGTTTTTATTTTATAAAAAATATTGACAAAAAAATATAAGGAATTAATTTAGCTTAAGTTCCATTAATATAAGGGAACTCAAGCTAAAATCAAAAAAATAATTAATATTAAAATTGAACTCACCAGGCTTCCAGGTTGAACCTCATCAACCAACGAGGTTCATCCCAGAAGCCCGGTGACTATAATTTTAATATTAATTATTTTATTGATATATACACATATAATACTTAAAAAACTATATATGTATAAAACATTACAAAACTGCTCCTCTTCTTTTATGGAAACAAATATATATTGTTAAAAAACAACTATAAACTGATATTTAATATAAACTGTATAAAATGTTATAAAACAAAACTATAAATACAACATTATTAGGATCCCTGAAATGACAGCAATTGAATTAAACATCTACGGAAAAAATGAAAATATTAAAATCGTTTCTACTTACAGATCACCAAGCTCATGGCCAAAGGTATTTAATTCATGCCTTAACAATTATTTATGCCATACAAAGAGGTCGGAGATTAATATGTTTGCAGGAGATATTAATATTGACTTATTAGTTGATGATGACTATGTATCGGAGTAAAACATGCATGGATATGTATCATATATAAATCAACTCCCAAAACGTCACAGTAAAATGTGCCTTGATCATTTCTTTATTGAAAATTCACAAGAAAGTAAACATAAACTTAGTTCTTACATTTTTAACTACGAAATAACTTATTATAGTCCCATTGCATTAATATTATAAAATTTCAAACTCTTCAGTTAGTACCACAAATAAACAAAAGAACACAATGTTCAAAAATATACTGATTATATACAGTTAAAGCTAAATTTAAAAGGCGAAAATTGGATTTCTCTTTATAGTTCCACAAACATACATTATACAACTGAGGGGTTTATCAATATGCTACAACGAAATATTGAAATAACCACTAAGGAAGTAGAAATTCGACAAAAAAAAACAAAAATCAAAAAATAAAAAGCCTTGGATCAATTTAGACTTATTAAAAGCTATTGAGGAAAAAAATAATTTGTATAAAAAATCTAAGAAACACCCCAATGACATGAATATCAGTATGAATATAAATTATCTCAGCGGATTATTAACAAAAGCAAAAAAGAAATATTTTAATGACTTAGTTGATAAAAATACTTCACTCCAATGACTCTTTGGGCATTTGTAAAAGAATTGTGTGGTGGAACAGTAGTTAAAACAGAAATTGAGCAGATAAAGTGAGATGATAATTTAATAACAGATCATGGAAAAATTGCAGATCTATTTAATAACTATTTCAGCGACTTGGTAAAAAATATGCTGAGAAAACTGATACACCTCAATCATGTTGAAGAAATTGAGTATGTAAAAAATAGCATATATTTATTTCCAATGAATCATAAAAACTATACATACACTAAAAAATAAAAAATCGTTCAGATCAGAAATGTTAGAAGAAGTTGCAGAACAAATTGCTAAACCATTGACTTATATAATCAATAACTGTTTCAGATTAGGTATATTTCCCAATGTATTAAAAACAGGTATCATTAAACTACTTTTTAATGGTGAAGATAGTAGTGAACTTTTGGACTATAGACATAGACCAATAAGCTTGACTTTGAATCTCAGTAAAGTAATCGAAAAAATTATAAAATCTTGTCTAAATAATTTTTTAAACAAACATAAGATATGATCTGAAAATCAATATGGCTGTAGAGAGGGGAGGTCTACAGAAGATGCCATTGGTAAAAAATATTTACAATTCTTTAGATAATAAAAAAGCTTCTTTATGTATATTTGTAGATCTCTAAAGAATTTGATACTTTAAACCACAAAATACTGTTACATAAACTAAAAAATTACGGCCTTCAAATTGTTAGAGAGCTACTTAAGTGGCAGACAGCAAAAGGTAACTGTAGGTGGTAAAATGAGCATGACCAGAACTGTGACTTACGGAGTAGTCCCGCAAAGAACAGTGTTGGGGCCGCTTTTATTTTATCATTTATATAAACACTTTACTTACATTACAGACTTCAAGCCAGATCATATATTTCGCTGACAATACAGCCATTTTTTATAGCAATAATAGCAATACAAATGGAAAAAGTTGAAGGAAAATGTCGAAATGGACTTTGTAAAAAATAATAAAATGGTAAACATAACCAGTTAACATTAAATACTAAAAAAACTAAATACTTTTTCGTCATACAAAACTGGGTTACCAAACTTCAACCAACTTGAAATTGACAACGATACAACAATTCCAGAAGCAGAAAAGATTAAGTACCTTAGTATTGTAATAGACAGATACCCAAAATGGGATCATCATATCAGATATGTACTCCAAAAAATAAGGGTTTACTCCCAAAATTCAAGTATCTTCGCAACTACAAATCGTTATTATATTTACACAGTGAAAAATCATTTCTGAATTGAATCCACCATACATATCACACTAGAAATAAAAATTTAACAATATTAGTGCATAAAAATGGAAAAAACATTGGCCAATCTTGCATTGATTTTTTGGGACCAAAAATGTTTAATTGCCTACCATGCACCATCAAAACAATACAAAACTATAACAAATTAAAATAATTGTTCCATGGTAATAGATATAAATTGCATGAATTAATGAACAGCTATTAATGAGCTTAAATTTCAAATAAATGTTATAATTTTAAATTTTTATGTTTTACTAAGTGTAATTTGTCAGCAGGTTGTTACTATTTTAAAATGTTTATAACTGTAATTTGTGTGAATATGTTAAAAAAATTCAACCCTCACGTACCAGTTCTAGTCCATGTGACACGACAACTTCTATGAGAAACTGATTTTATTTAAGTATTGTACAAAATAGGTAAATTTATATTGTAAGACATTACTATCATATATATATATATATATATATATATATATATATATATATATATATATATATATATATATATATATAAATATATATATATATATATATATATATATATAAATATATATATATATATATATATATATATATATGATTGTTGATGAAATGGTATTCTTCTAATTACACAAAGAACAAAGAAATTTAAAAATTCAAACATACAAAATATATAATAACACATGGATAATCTTTTATTTTTCACACTTACACCTACCTACCTAAACAAAAAAGAAAGCAAGAAGCACTCCTTTAGAGCCTCCGCATACATATTTGTGAAATAAAAAGAAATGTTTCGTAGTTTCACAGTCAAACTGTCACAGTGTCAATTGACAAATTCATTCGATACATCTAAAGCTGAAAAACTATCAATATAATGTAAATGTATACTTTTTATTAATCATTTCCCTCTACTAGTTTCATCTCATTTTATTTCACAAAGTATTATGTATTTGCAATATTTTGCCAGTTATTAGCACAATCATCACTGTATATTACATATATATATATATATATATATATATATATATATATATATATATATATATATATATAATCATAATATATAAAATCATATATTAAAAATACAAAAAATAAAAGGTACAAGACATTTAACATTTAAAACCACTCTCTTTTATCCAACTTAAAAATATATACTTAGTTAACCTACTTCCTAACAAACGGTTTCTTAATTGATTCAAAATCAAGCCTGCTTTTGAGAACAACCGCTCTGAAGGTACTGATGTCCCAACTATAACCAAATACTTCATGGCTTGTTTGTAAAGCAGTGGAAATAAAGTTTTCATTTCTTCCCATTGCTCTAAAGGGTTCGATTTTAAATTAGCCACTGGATTTGCTAGATAAATAGACAATTCATCTTGTAAATGATCATTTTCTAATCTCCTACGTTTTGTACTACCTGAAGAGTGTGCCAATTTTTTATGGTAGTTCCAAAAATCAAAACTACTGTCCTGAGAGTTACTTTCAGAATCTGACCCACTTGATATCTCCCGGTATTCTTGTTTAAGTTGCTCTCTTAAATATGAAACTACTTTGCTTGCTGCCAGTGGTTCTTGAAAATGTAGATTTTTAAACCTTGGATCAAGTAATGTGGCTACAGCAATTGCGTGATTATACTCTATTTTGCTAAACCTCTTTTTTAGTTCAGTTTTAATTTTTGACTTTAGGTTATCTGCTAGTGGCAAATCTAAATTAATCATATCCAGCTGATTTGAAACACATGCCAACATTGGAATGATCTTTGATATTGTAATGTACTCTTCTCCAGAAGCTTCTCTCGTAATGTACTCTAAAGGTCTGAGAAGACAAATAACTTCTTTAACCTGTAATATTTCTACCGCTGTTAACATTGCTGGTGCATGCGGTTTACTTAATAATATTTCACTAACTAAAGAAGAAAGTTCCACAAACCTCTCGAGCATATAAAATACAGAATTCCACCTGGTGCTAACGTCTAAAATTAATTTTTTTAGGTTGCCACTAGCAGTTCCCTTATTCAGTTGGCGTTTCCTCAGTTCATCACTAACAATCACACTGTTTTTTGCCCATTTGACAATTGATCTTACTTTATTTAATAATGACTTTGTCTCCTCGTTTTCTAAAGAATGCTCGACAACTAAATTTACTAAATGAGCAAAGCAGGGAACATGTTTGATCTTTAGAAAGCTATCACTAATTGCCTTCAGCATATTGGTACCACCATCTGTAACCACAGCTTCCACTTTTTCAAGATCAATGTTCCACCTATTTAAAATTTCTAAAAGCTGGGTAGATATATAATCAGAGGTGTGACGTTCTGATAATTCTGATAGATCAATAGAAACCGAAGTTAGTTTTCGGTCTTCTATAAAGTGCACAGTTACACCTAAAAAACTGCGACAAGACATCATTTCACTCCAGACGTCACATGTTACAGAAAAATGACTTATTTCTGAAAATTTTGTTTTATAAAGATTGGCTATAACCTCATACTTAGTATCCATGAGTTTTTTAAACGTTTCCCTGCTAGGTACTTTATATAAGGGAGCAAGTTCTTTTATTAGTCTCTTAAAACCAACACCTTCTACTATATTTATTGGCCTATTATCAAGGCACTTGTTATTTTTGAAGAACGAGCTCCACCATCTAAAACAATAATTAATATGTTCATAAATGATCTTTCAATTTTTAGTTTTTTTTACTTACCGCCGTATGAATTAATTTTTTCAAATGCAGCTTGAAGTGGACCTCTACATACTTCTTTAATGGTACTAGAATTTCCTTGAAATGTACTTGTAGAAGGTTCAGGAATTTGGTGATTGGTTTCAGGAGTTGCCAGTGTTGGTTCTTTATAGTCAGAACGAAATAGAAAAACAATTATTAGTTTTATTATTTTAGCAATAAGTACTGTAATTGTTACCTGTGAGATGCCTTTACTTTCTCTGATTTATTTATGATGTTTGAATGCTTGGATTGTAGATGTTTTGCCAAATTAGAGGTATTTCCAGACGTTTTAAAAGTTTGGAAACATATTTTACATTTCGCTGATGTAGGTCCAACCTTTTCAAAATAAATCCACACATTACTTTTTGGTGGTGGCATATTTTTAATGTAAGAACTTATATTGTAAATATAACAAATTTAGAATTCACCACAAAGTAAAAAAATACTACTGGGTGATACAATATTAATGAATAAAAACACTGAGTTATAAAATATTTATGAATGTTTATCAAATATTTGATATTCACAGAGAACGTCACCACGTGGTGTTTATATTTATAAAACAAAAATAAAGCACACAATAAAGCCTCGACTACTCGAACTGTCTGCTGTCGCTGTCACTGTCTGTCGAACTCGACTCTTCCGGTCTTGATGAAACACGAAATCTGGTATCGAATCGTTCGATACCAAACTATTCGATACGATACTGGAAAGTATCGTTTGTCCCGGTATCGATACCAAAACTACTAAATTATCAGATAAAAGTATGTTAGTTAGCATCCCTATATGTTATTTGTCACAAAGTATTGGCGGCTAAAAGTATGCTTCCTTATAAACCAAAACGGCATTATAAATCAACTCACAGTCATTTACAAGGTAAGCCAAGAGACTTTTTTTTTCTAAGAAAATTGAGAGAGCTAAAAGATCAGACAACGGCTTTGGTTTCAAGAGCATCAATTCCTACCAAAGCATTGCTCGCCTCTTACATAGTAGCTTACCGTGTTGCCAAATGTAAAAAACCGCATACGATCGCTGAGTAACTGATCTTAGCATCGGTTAATATGGTAAAGTTTTTTTAGCAGAAAATGGTTAACTTTAAATTAGTACAGTCGTAAATATTATTAAATTTATCTGACTTGGCCCATTGTTAAGACCTTGTACCTCAGTTAAGCCATTGTTACCTGAAACCGGGTCCTGTATACTATTATTGGTTATCCAGGATGTTTATAATCGATAAATTAAAATCAACCATTTAGTGCTAAACAAACTTTAACAGTGATAATTGTACGGTTAGTCGGCGTATTCACATGACATGACAGAAGATATGAATGAGCAAATTGTGCGAAAAACTTTCAGGTTTTTTTGCCATTCAGTTGAACGAGGCGACTGATAGTAATGATGATGCGCAATTGATATGTTATGTACGGTACATACAAAAAAAAAACAAATATATGTGAAAGATATGTGAAAGTTGTAAAGCTACTAATTTATTTGAGATTTTAAACTCATACATGATTGAAAATAATATTAACTGGGATAACTGTGTAGGCGGTGCCCGAGTGATGTCTGGACAGTATGGAGGACTACAAGCTCTCATCAAAACCAAGGCTCCAAGTGTAAAATGGGCACATTGTGCCATATACATAGAGAGGCCTTAGCAGTAAAGAACGTTACACCTGAAGTGTTGTGATGTATAGCATTATTAGAGTGGTGAACTACATTAAATACGACCCGTGTAATCAAGATTTTTCCATAAACTTTGAGAAGAAATGGGGACCGAGCACACGTCTTTAATTTATTATTGCAACTCTCGTTGGCTGTCCAAAGGTAACGTACTCGCACGTGTATACGAATTAAGAAATTAATTTTAGACGTATTTACATACAGAATCACAAATTGACTATTTCCCTGCTTTACAAGGTATTCTACAAGAAAGATGGATAGAAATCCTTGATCCCTCTTTAAACAATATGTTTACACAACATATGTTATCATTGAGCGAACACTTTGAGAAATATTTTCGCGAAAATATGGAGCAATATGACTGGGTCATAAACCCTTTCCTGTCATCCACGCCATCGATACTTTCAACAGAGGAAGAACAACTGAGAAAATTGTCCTGTGATTCCAGACTAAAGCTTTAACACGACAAGAACAAACTGTTTGAATTTTGGAGCTCACTTTCTCTTTCTCGCACTTACTTATACTAAACTGGCTGTTGTGCAATCGTAGCAATTAAAAACAAGTACAGGTCAGTGTAAGAAATGAGAGTGACAATTTTCAAACTAAAGCCTTATTTTCATAAGCTGTGTTTAAAAAAACATGCACATCCCTCACATTAACCAGCCCCTAGTTACATAAATAAATATCCCTTTTCATTTTTGTGCCTCTGTTTTGATTTCGTTCTTAATTTCTAATGAAAAATATAAATATTCAAATAGTGTTTTCGTTATAACTATAACCTGTTACTAGGCTAGTACTAAAATTGGTAAGTATTATTGGGGGTTGGGTTTTGGAGATGCGTCGCAAAAAAATAGCAAAGTTCCAAGGGCGTCAAGTTTGGAAATTTGGGAACCCCTGTCCTAAGCTCTAACATAAAATGAACTTAACATATTTTAATTTAAAATTTTGGTCGAAATTCGAATCATTGGATATGACAGCTAAAGCTACTTTTTCAGATAAAAATAGTTTTTGTCATTAAGAGAAAGTTTCATTCAAATCTAGGTTTAATATAGATATGGGCCATTTCCATTACACACAGTATAAACATTTTTATAATAAACTTAAATTCTTCTTCCTCTCATAGCGCCATATTCTTTCGAAGGTTGGTGATCCAAATGGCTTGTTGTTTTGGAAACTGCTGCGCGAAAGATTTCTGCGGATGAGAGGTCGAACCATCTCCCCAGGTCTTTCAGCCATGAGTTCTGGCGTCTTCCTACTGATCTTTTGCCCTGTACTTTTCCTTCCAGTATAACTTAAACTATTAAAGTTTAATAAAAGGTAAAAAATGAGCTAATTCAAGTGGTAATAAAGTAATCATTAGCTGAATGGGTTGCACTCGTCTCGATTATTTTCGTAAAGAACCTTGTGACATACTATATTTACATATACTATATACAAGAGCCAGTAGAAAGTAGGAAGAGAGGCAGGCGAAGATCTAAATTTAAAACTCAAGTCGATGATGACTTGAAGAATCTAGGGGTCAGAAATTGGAAAGCCAGGGTGAAAGATAGGGGGAAATGGAGACTAATTCTTGAACAGGCCAAAACCCATCCTGGGTTGTAGAGCCAAATATGATGATGATGATATACTATATTTTACATTGTGTTGCCAGGCGCAATTATGAACAAATTGGATGATCTGTAAGTCAACAAACTTTGTACAATTGACCTTGAGATAATAAATTATTTTTTATATTTAGTACACAAACATGCAAGGATTGGCCCTGTCTTGGATTGCCTTGGAATGCAAAATAAATTAGATAATAAGTTCAGTTAAATTCTAATGGCATATCGGTTGATATCATAGGAATTCTAGAAAGGAGAGTTTTCTCAATCTTAAAGTTTCCTTATAGTATCGCTGTGTAAATTATATGAGTTATCACATCACCAAATATGTCCCAAATACCAAGTTAATTTAGATTTCTAATTATGATGATGACCTAGCCAATCTTTGGTTGAAAATTGTGTAGTGTTAAGCCAAGCAGGCATCTTTACTTGTTACATAGTCCATAAACGATTTAGTTATATATATATATATATATATATATATATATATATATATATATATATATATATTCTTGTTCTTTACTGCTAAAATTGTTCTTTTCCTCAACCAATTGAGATTTTTATATTTAGCGGTGATGTTCTGGAACACTATGTTAGTGATTTCGTCCTTTGTGTAGAACAAATGGCACACGTGCAGCGGAAACGAAGTCAAATAATTCTATTCGTCGTCAGGAATATCGCCTTTATCAATAGCCACTAATTGCTTTGAGGACTTTTCGGCATAAAGATCGTTGTTTAGCAATGCAACTTTCATGTTTGTCGTCAGTTAGCTTTATCACGTAGCTTTATCGTCGTCAGAGGAGAATATCGAAATCTTGGTAAGGCTGTTCAATAGAATTTATGATATTGGTTACATTCCGCGAGAATGGCTGCAGTCATCCTTTGTGATGATCCCAAACACAGCTAATGCCACAAAATGCAATGAACACCGCTTAATCAGTTTAATGAGTCACTTGTTGAAACTCTTCCTTAGGATATTACACTCAAGAATGTATAAGCTACTAAAAGAACTTAGCGGGTCAACACAATTCGGTTTTAAGGGAGGACTAGGAACAAGAGAGGCAATTTTATGTTTGAACACCTTAATACAAAACTGCTTAGATCAACGAAAAGATGTCTACCTCACCTTCATCGACTACGAGAAGGCATTTGACAATGTTAAACATGATATCATGATGGAACTACTACATAGGGCCAACATTGACCAGAAGGAGATCAGAATTATTCAGAATCTATACTGGAACCAAATGGCAAAGGTGAGGATTGATCAAGACCAATATACGGATAAATTTGAAATCCGGAAAGGTGTCCGCCAAGGCTGCATACTCTCTCCGATGCTTTTTAATTTATATGTTGAAAATATATTTGCGGAAGCATTAGAAGATACGGAATTAGGCATTAAGGTGAACGGCATACCAATTAGCAACCTACGCTATGCGGACGACACAGTGATTATAACTGATAATTTGGAAGATCAGCAGTTATTACTTGATAGGGTGAATAGCATAGGTAAAAAATATGGCCTCAAAATCAACATTTTGAAAACGAAATATATGGTCATTAGCAGAAACCCTCCAGAAAACCCGATATTATGCATAGGTGACAATCGTATAAATCGCGTGAAAACTTTTAAATACCTTGGCACCACAATCAATGACCAATCGGATCCACAACACGAGATAAAAACCCGAATACAAATGGCAAGACAAGCTTTTGTGAAATTCAGACCGCTCCTATGTAATCAACACCTAAACTTCGAAATACGCTACAGAATGGTCAAGTGCTACATATGGTCCATCTTGCTTTATGGCATGGAAACGTGGACTTTGAAAAAAACATCTATCAACAAACTTGAAGCATTTGAAATGTGGTCATTGAGAAGAATGATGCGCATACCTTGGGTGGATAGAGTTCGAAACGATGACGTCCTTAATAGAGCCGGCGTGGAAAGAGAACTCTTTGAAATAGTTAAAAAACGCAAGATTGGTTACCTTGGGCACATATTGAGAGGAGCAAAATATGAAATACCACAGTTAATCCTACAAGCGAAGATCGAAGGTAGGAGAGGAGCCGGCCGCAAACAATTGTCCT